CACCCACACACACACACACACACACACACACACACACACACACACACACACACACACACTCTCTCTCTCTCTCTCTCTCTCTCTCTCTCTCACTTCTGCACCAAAAAAGCGTGTGCGTTTGAAAGCTGCGGCTGTGAACTGTCGACGACATCATAAAATGTGCAATACTCTCGCGGCGCCAAAAAGTTGAAACAAGCGACACACAGCAAAGCACAAGACAAGACACACACCATCGACCCACGCCTGCTGAGCGACTGAGAGAGGATGGAGCCTGTGGCGAAGCAGAGCAAGTCGCAGGAGAGGCCCTCCTCTCCAACGTTTGCACTGCGACAGAAGCGGCGACCAAAGGTAAAGTGCATCATTGATGGCAGTGCGCTACGGGGCCGTTTGTGTGACTGCGGCAACGGACATGCAGAAGCACAGCGAAGTGAACAAAAACACACACACACACACATTTGCACGTACAGACACAGCCACACACACACATACACACATAGACACACACACACACATAGACACACGCACACACATTCACACACACACACACCCGCATGTTTGCTGTGCTGTCTTTTGTAGAGGCGCATTCGTCGAACAGCAGGAGCGACCAGCAGTCAGCAAGTGGTGTCACAGTCGCAGGATCTGTCGCAAAAGGCAAATTATGACGAGGCGTCTCAGGAAGCAGTGGCACCGACACCCACACCAGCGGCGGTGGCAAGCGCTGGAGACATGGACAGTCAGATCTCAGTTACACCAACACCATCGGCAAGTGCAGCGGTCGCATACCTTCGTCCACGGCCACTGACGCTCCCACCCAACGCTGCGCTGTACTCGTGGACCTGCGGCACGCTGGATGACCTGTACATGTTTCCCTGCCTGTACCCACAGCGCGCACCGCAACCGGCACCCACATCAAGCGCATGCAGTGGTGCATTGAAAAGCGGCGCCAGCAACAGCAACAACATGATTACTGTCACGCCCAGCACCCTCATTCGCATGCTTCTCTCACAGCCAGCAGCAACAACAGCAACAGCAGCAACGGCAGCAACAACAGCAGGAACAGCAGCAACAGCAGCAACAGCAGCAACAGCAGGAACAGCGCTGCACAGTGACATGGTGCTTGGATTCCTCACGAAAGAGCATCGGGGATTTGATGGCGAGTCTCCGTTTGTGCCAGCGCTGTTGCCGCGCCACGTGTCGCGCATCATGACAACGCTGCACACGCAGCTCACACGCGCACGCTCTCGCCATGCGTCTGGGCTGTGCTGCGTTGCTGTTGCCAGCGGCTGCGTGCGCATGTGCTACCTCCTGCTGCTCACCATCCTCGTCCACCCCGATGCTGGCGCCATCACGTCTTCGGCAGTGCTGTCGTCATTGCTCGCATTTCTGCGACACCGTGGGGCCATCAGCCCAACAACCGCCACAAACACAACCGCCAACACGACAGCAGCAGCACCGAGCACAGCAGCAGCCGGAAGGGTGGTGCGCAAGGGAGGAGATGTTGGTCTGATGTTGGAGCTGGAGGTGCGCTTCTTCGTCACGCTGGCACTGGCGGCTGTCATGCTCAGACACGATGCACTCAAGGCGCATTCAGCAGACACAACAGCAGCGACACACGTGACGGCCACGACAACAACAGATGCACCAGTTTGCACGTGCACGCGTGAGCAGGAAGGAGGACGTGGTGTTGCGCTCACAACAACAGGCGCGACAATACATGCGCTGTGCGCGAAGCACGACTATGACCAATTGCGGCGAGAAGTCAAGGCGCAGGGGACGTGGCTGTATCTGCTGCTGATGAAGAACAAGAGTGCAGCGATCAGCATGTCAACCGTGCCCCAGCCACGAGGCGTTAAGCCCTGGCAAACGCGCAGCCGCCGGCAAACCAGCAACGCCACCAGCACACGTGCTGGTTCTGACGGCGAGAAGGAGAACAGGAGCACAAGTGCGCACATGTCAATGGATGGCACAACGCAACGCATTGCTGTACACATGCACGAGCAACAGCAGCAACAGCAGGAGCAAGTGCGTCCAGCGTCCACCTCCAGGTTATCGCCGTCGCCACTTCACATCGGACCATTGGATGCGCTGCTGCTCGCACTGCACATCGTCCTCGATGGCGGCAGTGGTGGTGGCAGTGGCAGTGGTGGTGGCAGTGGCAGTGGTGGTGGTGGTGGTGATGGGATGTGTGGGCACATTGCTGCCACAGCTGAGCGCGTGTTCTCGCTGTGCTGTGAGGGCCATCGCCCGCCCTCGCTTTCCGCCCTCGCGCAATCCACAATGTGAGTGTGTCAGAGAGAGAGAGAGAGAGAGAGAGAGAGAGAGAGAGAGAGAGAGAGAGAAAGAGAGAGAGAGAGAGAGAGAGAGAGTGTGTGTGTGTGTGTGGTGCTCTGCAGTGTTTTCTCACTGGCCCGTCTCATACACCACTCACAACACGGTACACCGCACACACTGTATCCCATCACCGGCGCCAGCATCCTCGGGTCCAGCGTGTCGTTTGCACATGCGTTGAAACAGACGCTGCTGTTGGTCAAACTCTGGTCGCACCTCTACACCGCCATCACCGACCAGCCAGTGCAGAGCAGCAAGGTGCTTGCAGGCAAAACTAACCCTGAGCAATTGTGCGAGTGCCTGCTCCAACCACATCAGAGAGGTTATACATTTTCTTTGGTTCTTGTACCTTTCTCACCGTTCTGTTTTCTTGCGGTCACATGTACAGCTTCGCTTCAACCCCTGGCCCATTTTCGCGGCCATTTTCAAGTCACAGCTCTTCTCACAGGTGAGTATGTGCGTGTGCGTGCTTGCTTTGCTTATTTGCGAGTTTGCGTCCCACTGCCCGCCTGTATCTCTGATTGTTGTTGGTATGTGCATGTCCTCACGCTACGTGCCCATGTGCATGCCCGTTCAATCCATTGCCACCAGTCGGTGCTGCACGAGGGCGAGGATTTGCGTCTCCGCGCTCTCCACCTCTGCAACACCGTCACCCGCGCAGGTACGTGTGGGTGACCGTGGCATTGTCGCACCACATGCTCCCTTGTCATGCTTGCTTGTCATGACACATGCGTGGCACGAGCCTTGCCTTCTTTCCCATCTTCACGTACACGCATATGCATGCACGGCATCGCTCTTTGCTCTCACGTTGACCCATCACTCCTCCTCCCCCTCCTCCCTGCCCACGTGTCTTCAGTTGCAAAGCACCAGTCCCCTTCATCATCATCATCGTCGTCGTCGTCGTCAGTGCTGCCACCGGTGCAAGTGCTCAAGTCGCCGTGGGACTACTTCCGCAAACACACGCGCACGGAGATCGGGGCCCTCACCCTGCCCTCATTCCTCCTCGCCTCGTCCCGCACTAGTGGTGGTGATGGAGGTGACCAAGGTGTTGCGATCGAGCAGCTGCCTGCAAACGCGTTTGATGCGTACTTGAGTTTGCTTGCAAGCACGCTCAGCACTCACACGATAGCCAACGCATCAGCATCAGTGCCGCAGACACAAGCGCTGGCACAACATCACCGTTCCCACCACACATCCTCGTCGTCGCTGCACCAGCCGTCGTCACCCACACCCTCAGACCACCTCGACACGATACGCAGGCTTGTGAGCCGCATTGTCGTGCACATGCCCACGACCCCACGTAAGCTTCAGGCAACGGAAGGACCAGACTTGCGCGTGTGTGGAACGCACGCCGGACTGCGGAATGTTGGCGCTCTTCTCCTTGTTCTCATCCAAGCCATCACCTCGCACACGCAGTGAGTCCTTGTGTGTATGTGTGTGTATGTGTGTGTGTGTGAGGTGTGTGTGTGTGACATGTGCGTGACGCACTTTTCGTCCTGTCTTACTCGCGCGATTTCTGTCTCTGCTGACGTTGTGCACCCTTCACTCCTTCAATACACAAACACACTCACACACACACACACACACACTCTCTCTCTCTCACTCTCTCTCTCTCTCTCTCACACACACACACACACACACTTACACACACATGCCCTCCCCCTTCTTCACATCTCCTTGCTCTCCCTTGTTCTCCATCCCCACGCAACTCTTCACTTCTTCTGTCAGGTCGGAGCCGCCCCCAGCGCTTGCGAATCGACTCTTGGACCAGCTCACGTCCCTGCACGTGAAGTCACGCGCGCTGTTTGCAGAGAGCGATGGCCCCGCACAGATTATTCTCATCCACGACCACTTTTCGCTGCTGCGGACGCTCCTGCGTGGTCCTACCTCTCAGCGTGACACGGTCCTCCTTGCGCTGCAATCCTTCCTCAAACACACACTCGCCGCTGTTCTGCACGAGCCACCGCGCCTCGCCCCAATCTTCACAACAGCCGCAGCGGCAGCGGCAGCAACAGCAACAGCATCAGCAGCATCCTCATCATCGCTGTTCCATCGCAGTATCAGCGGTGCGAACGTCAATAACAGCGGCAATCGCGGTCGAGGAAAGGCAGGCAGCGGTATGCCCGAGCTCCTCACAAACAGCGATGTGCTGTACGTGTGGCTGCTGGACTTGTACAATCTCGTCCAAGACCTCACCGCACCTCTTGCACACCCCAACAACACCACCACAAGCAACAACAACAACAACAACAACAACAACAACAACAACAACAACAACAACAACAACAACAACAACAACAACAACAACAACAACAACAACAACAACAACAACAACACCACCACCACCACCACCACCAGCAACAACAACTCCAACACTAACAGCAGCAATAACAGCAGCAGACAGCACGAGCACGCCTGCACCACGTGGTCACGCGGCGTTGCTCGCTTGTCTGCACTCATTTCATCGCTCGCAGTGGAGCTGTTGACAGTGTTGGTGTCAGACGTGGTGCGCGCTGACGTGAAAGCATTGGTGATTCGCATCTTGCATGCGTTTGTCACGGCCTGCCACGACCAGCACACACGTGAACAACAGCAGCAGCAGCAACACCAGCAACAACAAGCAGGAGAAGAAGCGAACGCAGCAACGACGACGCCCGCAGCATGCAATGACCGCAACCGCCATCATGATGATGGTGACGATGGTGATGATGACGAGGAGGACAGCATGAACGCGATGCTGGCTGAATTGCCACTGGATGACGTGGAGCAGCTCGAGCAAAACCTCTTGGGCAACGGAGACAATGGTGATGACGAGGAGGAGATGAGGAACACAGACGAACTGCATCAGCAGCAGCATCAACAGCAGCAGCAGCAGCAACAGGAGCAATCGGGTGAGGAATTGCGACGAAGACGCCAAGAGAACGAAGCGTGGCGGCAGGCGGCCCTCGCGTGTGTCCTGAGAATTGCATCCGTGTGTATCGGTGCGTTGCAGTTGAAACAGCACAACACCAGCGCCAGCGCCACTGCTACTGCAACTGGCGCTAGTAACAGAAACCTGACGCATCCACCAAGGCGAGCACAAAGAACAGCAGCAAGAACAGCAGCAGCAAGAACAGCAGCAGCAAGCGCAGCAACAACCTCCACCAATGCACCCATGCCAAACCACGCCGTGCACAGGCCCGCACCACCACCACCACCACCATCATCATCAACAGCAGCAGCAGCAGCAACAGCAGCAGCAGCAGCAGCAACAGCCACGTCACCATCGACTCCGTTCCCCTCGTGTGCACCCGTACCGGAGACGGTGGAGGTCTTGACACCGTCGCTGCCAGATGGTGTTGAGCCACAGTGGCTGCCAACGAGCCTGTTGCGGCAAGTGCTTGACATTCTGGCAACGTGTCTTGATCTGGAGACGGCAGATGCTCGCCTCAGGTCCATTCGCGCACACGTGGACTGCCGGCCCACAAGTCCGCTGTATCTCGCCAAGGACCGCTTCACACGCCAGCTGCCACTCGTCTTCCTGCGCTGTCGCTGCGACCTTCAAGGCGCAATTGACATGACGCAACCGGACGATTTGTCCGCTGTGGCGTGCGCGCTCGTGGCCGGCATGTTCGACGGGTCCGCGCGAGACGAGGACTTGGTGGTTCTCTTTGACGCGTTTGCTCACCACTGCACGCACCTCATGTCAGCCAGTTACACGACCTCGTCGCCCGCACCTGCAACAACATCCACAACCACTGCAACCAATGCCAAAACAGCGTCTACAGACACAACAACAACAACAACAACAACAACACCTCCCTCGACCACCACCACCAACAGCAGCAGCAGCACCACCACCACCACCACCACCACCACCACCACCACCAACAGCAGCACCACCACCACCAGCAGCAGCAGCAGCAGCACCACCACCAACAGCAGCAGCAGCAGCACCACCACCACCACCAGCAGCAGCAGCAGCAGCAGCATTGGTGCCGGGTCGCTGTGGCCGCTGCACCGGCGATCGTCAATGCTTCGCGACCGCCACATTGAGCTCGCCTTCCAGCAGCGCGCGGCCGCGTTTGCACACGTCGTGCGCTGGCTGTGTGCTGGCCAGGTGCGCCGCGCCCTCGCCCCGTTCACACTCGCGCAGGTAATTGGCCGCGTGGATGCGATCGCTGAGACGTCACGCCACGACACGTCACCGGCAGCGCAGGCACACCACACGGGCTGTTGTGTCCGCATGGTGGCCCTGCTTATGCAGCACGCCTCTGACGCAATCTACCGGCGTGACGGCGAGTGCCTGTTCCCCGCGCTCATCCACAAGTACCTGGAAGCGAAGCCCGAGTCTGTTGTGCGCAAGGAGGCGGGGCGGGAGGTTGATCATTTCGTCATGCCGGCGGCGCTGCAAGGGATTGCATCCCTTGATTTCATCAACGACTCGTACCTGCGGCGGATTCTCGTGCGCGATGTGTTTGGCGCGTACTTTGAGGCGCTGGCCTGCTCCGTGTGCTCCGGGTTCGGCGACAACACGACGCCAGCGTGGACCGGAGACGCGCGTGTGCGGTACTCAGCGCTCGTCAACCAGCGTCTCCACTCGTTTGCGTCTGTCATGCTGGCGTGCTCACCGACGGGACATGGCAGTGGCGGCAATAACGGCAAACATGGCGAGAAGCAGCGGACAGCAGCTGGAAGCACAGCAGCAACAGCAACAACAGCAGCAACAACAGCAACAGCAGCAACAACAGCAACAGCAGCAACAGCAGCAACAACAGCAGCAACAGCAACGACAATTGCAACATCAGAAGGTGCACACCATCCGCCGCAGCAGCCGCCACGAGCAGCCCCAGCACCGTCATCATCATCATCATCGTCGTCGTCGTCGTCGTCGGCATTACCACATGTGCGGTTTGATTGGCGGGCGGAGCAGCGTCGCGGCCAGATGCGCCGGTTTTTCCTCGGCGTTCTCCTGGCCGAATATCTGAGCGAGCACGCCACCGCCCACCCCACGTTCCCGCTCCTTGTGGCGAATGTGAAGGATCTTGTGGACCGCCTGCTGTGGGGACACAGTGCGGCTGTTCGCTCGCTCGTCGCCGGGATGACACGCGCGGTGGTTGAAGCGCAGGGTCGTGGTGCTGTGGCGGCAGGACCGGGGGTGACGGCCGCTGGTGTGGACGGGGAGCGTGAATTGAGCGATCACGTTGGTGGAAGCGGGCATGCAGACGAACGGCGAGCATCAACAACGCGACCACCAAAGGCAGCAACAACAACAACGAGTTCGAGTACTGCAACAACAGCAACAGCAGCGCCTGTGTCGTTGTCACCGCAGTTGCGTCAGGCCATTGTGGAGCGTGTGCGTGTGCTCAAGGCGCTGATCCTCAACTATGAGAAGGACGCTGTGCTACTGTTAGAGTCTGTGTGCCCGTGCATTCGCCGTGTGGCGGACAAACCGGGCTCTCGGTCCACGCTGATGCACCTTTGTGGCGGCGTGTTGTTGAAGCGTCACCAGCAGATACAACAGGCACTTTATCAGTGCTCTCTTCTCCTGCACCGCATCGACAGCAGCCAAGCGCCAATCACCACCCCAGTCATGGACAAGCTGGTGCGTGCTGTTGTGTATGTATACGTGGGTATGTGTATGTACATGTGTGTGTGTGAGTGTGCGCGCGCGTATGTGTGTGTGTGTGTGTGTGTGTGTGTGTGGCCGTGGGGTGGTTAGTTTGCGTGATGTTTGCACCTGGGTGATGTTTGTATTGCTCACAATTCGTCCCATCCGATGCATTCACGGTGCCCTTTGCTGTGCCCACTTGGTTGTGCGTTTGTTGCAGCTGCCGAGCCTGTGCGCGTACATTGCTGGGGAGTGCCTGTCTGATATGCACGCCCACCTTGGTGTCGAGAGCCAGCTCCCCGTCGGCACGCCAGACAGCCGCCAACTGCGCAAACTCCTCAACAACGTCATGCAGCTCATCCCAGAGAGTGTGTCGCTTATGTGTGTGCGTGTGTGTGTGTTTGTTTGTGCGGGTGCGTGTGTGTGTGTGTGTGTGTGTTGTTGTTGTTGTGCGCGTGTGTGTGTTTGCGTGTGTGTGTGTGTGCCTGACATCTTAAAGCAATCCACAGCCTGTCTGTAATGCGCTCGTTGTCTTTTCCTGTCGACAAGCCTTCCCCATCACCATCACTTCCACCACCACCACCACTACTACTTCCACCCCTGACCACCGCCATGGCCACGTTTGCAGGCCCGTTTGTACAGCGCATGCGTCGGGACCCTGCCAACCGGCGCGTGCTGTGCCGCTGCGCACACCCGCGCCGGGCCGCGCTGACGATACTGGAGTGCCCTGTTGTTGTGTTTGTTGCCCTCAAGTATATGATGGCGCTGCCGCAGGGCCTGCCCCACGTGGAAAACGCCATTGCCGTCATCACCCAGCAGCTCGATCGTGCGTCGCACTTGCCCATGGTGACGGGGGATGGTTGTTGTTGTTGTTGTTGTTGTTGTTGTTGTTGTTGTTGTTGTTGTTGTTGTTGTTGTTGTTGTTGTTGTTGTTGTTGTTGTTGTTGTTGTTGTTGTTGTTGTTAGTTGTTGTTGTTAGTTGTTTAGTTTAGTTGTTGTTTGTT